AACAACTGTAGAAGTACATGAAGGGGTTTTGACTACTTGATGGCAACAGGGAATGAAGGAACAGTTTTAAGGAGAGCAAAATGACCTGTGCTGTGCTTTGGAAAGATCGCTACTGCTGTGCAGACTACTCTGAAGGGGGTCAAAATGGAGAATCCAGTTAGAATTAAACAAGGAAATATGGACACGTGTCCATCTCAGCACCTGGCATATAATAGATAATAATAAATGACACTTCCCTCTTCCCTTCTCTTTCCCACCTTTCTTCCACAAATCCTACACCAGTCTGTATTTCCACATGCCTCTCTGACTGGTGATCCCTGTCATTGACAGTTTCCTCTGCCCATCCCTAAACATGGGAATATTCCAAGGCCCTTTACTCTTCCTCATCTATATCTTCTTTCTCCAATTTCTCAGTCACGCTCAGAGTCGCCTGAAGTAGGTTTCAGGTGCTACCTAAGTCAGCAGCATCCTTTGAGGTCTCCAGTGGGAGCCTCAGTGTCTTCTCTCCAGCTGATGATGGGTACCCTCCACTTGGCTCTTCCACTGTCATCTCGAGCTCAACATGTCTAAAACCAAATTCTTTAGCTTGCTAAAAGCCAGTACACCCCTCCAAAGACGTCTATTTCTGGCCATGGTTACCTTACATACGTAAACTCAAAATCTTAAAATGGTGTTTTAAAAAAGTGGTCTATGAACCACTTGCATCAGAACCAGCTGGAATGGCTGATTTAAAATGCTTTTACCAAATCTTGCACCTTCTCCACCCAAAGTGCTTCAACCTCTGTGATCTTCTATGTTCATGTCCACCCCAGTGTAGACCTATCACTTCGGCTCACGTTCAAACTTTTCCGCAGAGTGACCTCTACGAGCCAAGGAGCATTCTATGTCGGGCCCTGGGCACCAGGGTAAGAGGTTAGAGGCTGTAGACTCTGGCTTAAAGAGCTCTTGGTCTAGTGTGAGGGACAACTAAAATCCAGAATTCAGGCGGCACAGTGGAGCGAGGGAGTGACCGTGCCTGGAGCCATTAGGGATGGTTTCACAGAGGAGGTGACAGGCAAACGGATGAGGTATTTCTCAGGCAGGGAAGTGAGGGAAGGGTATTCCAGGCAGAAAGTGTAAGTGAATAAGTCAAGGAAGGGGACTAAGATCTTATCAGGGCACCTTCTCCTTGGACAGTGGCTGGGCCTTATTCCCGTGTCGCTGGGACCCTGAGGTGACATGGGTGGGTGAAGCAAAGCCTGGGGTAAGAACCCAGTAGTAACGCTGTTGTCCTAACTGGCAGTTATCCTCAGCCTCGGTGTCTGGGAGACGGTGGAAAGTGGTGAGGCCTGTGGCCTGGGGCTCTGCACCCCCATGTGAAGGGCTGCTCAGCTTTCCTGGATGGGTGCCCTGTGTGCACGTGGGCCCTGGGTTGCCAGATCTGGCGATTTCTCAGGAGAAGACGGAAATCCCAATTTTTATGTTAGACTGCTCAATTTTTTATTTTATTTTTTAAGGTTTTAAAGTAAGCTCTACACCCAA